CAAGATTGGATGGGCAATTCTGATTTCGGAACGCGGCGTTCTTATAAAAGTGTGGATCAACGTTCATTGCTACCACCGCACCCCTTTTATTCAATTTGGCTTATATAGTATCGCCCGCGGGGTTGATAAATTGTATTCTTAATCGCTAATCGACATTTTTTGCCAGTCAGTCTTATCATGGAATATCGAAGTTTTATTTTAGTTCTTAAATCACTCCTTTCATCGTTATATTTTCTCTTTTTTTCTTTCCTCTTGTTTTGTTTCGATAAAAGACAGTTTGTTCAACACAACGACGGCCGCAATACGACTTTTTGTATTTTCTTTTCTCGTTCTTCCCGTATTTCCTCCCTTTTTTCTCTCTTCTTTTTTCTCATTCTATTTTTCATTCTTCTTTTCCGTCCTTTTTCTCTCTTTCTTTTATCGACTACCTTTGCGAAACTACGTTTCATTATGAAAATTGTACGCTTCGCTTTATATATTTAGCAATTGCAGCTTGAAGAATGCACTTTTTCTGCCGCTGCGTAAATCATCGTCTATATTGCGAACTTGTCAATTTACTCCGATTATCTGCGCATAAGCTACAAATATTTTGCTCTTTTTATTTCTTTCATTGTTGCAGGTATGTTTCCCTTGAATCATTCATAGGCTTGCGCAATTATTTCTTATTTGGAGTTGAACACGGTAGCAAGACACAAGAATTTCAAGAACGCGTGAATCATTGACCGCTGCTATGTTTCGCAACTTTATTCACGAATTTGTAGTTTAGGTATTTTGCTCTATCCGAATCGTTCATTTTGCCATAACTGTGACTCTTAAACATTTCAAGCTAACGGCGAAAAGTAGTGCTTTATGTTTTATATTTGCACGCACTTTAAGGCGACAAGAATAAATCGCAATATACGATACAATAAGACGCACATTCGCCAAACCTAAATATTTATTATTCTGACATTTTTCACTTTAATGCAATTATTATGAGTGGGAGAAAGAAAAAAGTGCTGTTTAGTTTGTATTATTACGAGAACAAAAAAAAAAAAAAAAAAAAAAAAAAAAAAAAAAAATAAAACGACGACAAAAAAAACTAATCAACGGTAAAAAAAAAAAATTCAATTATAATAAAGACATAATGTTTGAGGCTACAGAACTTGAAGCACTAGTTTATTATTAATTTCTTATCATTTGATTTTCCGTTTCCGAAGAAGCGTTTTCACAGTTTTAGTTTTAGCAAATTCTAGATAATATATCAAATGTTTCAACGATTTAACAAATTATGCTTACACGTTTATTGAATTTATAAATTCACAACTTTTCATATTTATTTGACGAAATAATGTTTAGTCAAACGTTAAAATATCTGTTGTAACACCAAAACACTTTTGTACGATTTAAGGAAAATATTTCTATCTCACTTCGTACGATCGTTGTCAATGTAAGAGAAATTTTTTTTCGTATCTTTCTCGAATTTTTAAGACGATGTTTACGTGATAAAATTTATTGCTTTTTCCCGCAGCTATAATTATTTTTATATTTTTATATTTTTACAATATTTGATTAACCGTATGTAGTTTTATGGAAACACGATTGTTCTCTCGCAATTTTATCTTTCGCTTGATGATTATAATTCGTTCGACTTTGAAGTATAATTAATTTTAGCCATTCTATAGTAATTTATAAATCATGATTATTTACTACGATTTTTAGAATATTTTATAAAATATATATTTTTCGTTTCATCGAATTGCAACTACAGTCTCTCTCTCTCTCTCTCTCTCTCTCTCTCTCTCTCTCTTTCTATTTTACTCAGTATATTTTCTTTACTTGAATCACGATTACTATCTATCACAATTTTATGACATTATTTCTTAAATCAATTTTGCCCACATTGAAACTTTTTTTTTTTTTATCTTTTTCTTTTCTTACTATATTTTAAAGCCTCACGATATTTTTCGTTTAATTCTAGTTGAAAGGAATAAGATGAGAAGCACAGTTATTTTGCCATCGCATATCGAATGTTTTAAAATGTATTTCGTTTTACATATCGCTTATTTTCCTGATTCTATTCAATACAGTTATACGAGATAACGATGTCCTCATAATATTACCAAAAGCTTATTTCCATAAGTCGAAAATTTACTCATTCCGGCAACTATTTAATTCATTCGGCAAGTTACATATTTCTTTACACGATGCAATAAATAACGCCAATTTGAATATTCGCGAGATTATGTCCGATTTTATACGCAGTCGGGAATATCGTACCAAAAGCCCTAATCGGTGCTTAAGGCGACAAGTAGCCGAGAAACCTCTCTAATAAGGCGGTTGAACGATATTTAGAATTTCTTCGTCAGCTTGTAAGTGCGAGTTCGTCCGAGTTGCATCGGCAGCTTCCCAAAATCACAATTAAGCGACTTGTTTGCGAGCTCGATTTACAATTTACATGTCGATTTCTTTGTGAAAACATGAGGGGAAAAAAAAAAAAAAAAAAAAAAAAAAAAAAAATGATAATCTAAACACTCGTCCCTCTCGCTCGCGCAAACCAAAGTTTACGTTAATAGATCGCATTTTTCACTGTTTGTCAGGCCGGAAAAAAGCCGCGCCCGCAATTATCATTGTAAATTCCATAACGAGCGCGACCGTAAATCATGCAGAAATGCTTACCGCGAGAAGATCCGTTACGGCGCTCGCGCTTTCAAAGTCAAGTGCGAGTCAAAGTCGCGGCAGCGGCGATTGAATAACGCATTGCCTAGCTCTTTTTCATTTTATTTCATTCATGTGGATACTTGTCGCGCGATTATCATAGGTGAGGAGCCGCGCGAATAGTCGTCCTCAAGCAAATTAATAGCCTGCCGGAACCACGGCGTAAACAACGAACCGCGTGCAGCCGGACTGAGTCAGTCGGTCGAACGCGTTTCTCGAGAAGCGCATCGACCAGCGCTCTTTATACGCATCATTACGTAATGAGCGCACAATAATCTACAAGTGTCTCGTGCGCGGGAGAATTACGATTCCGGTCAGTGACCGTAGCGGCCGTTGGCTCGGGTTCGCCGATTATTATATCGAGTGCACACACGTCGCGGCCGTCCGTCTCACTCATTTTCGACCGTTTTAACTCGCCACGGATTTTGGAAAAATCGCGTGATTGTGCGCTTTTAACGCGGAGCTCGATCCCGGGCTTTAGGATTTACCGTGCTTCCTCGGCTTATGAAATATTTTTGTTTTTTTGTTTTTTTGTTTTTTTTGTTTTTTCTAACATTCACATGATCTCGGATGCAGTGAGAGCCCCGCGAGTCCGCACCCTCGTTCGTTGTATTCGCTAGTTTTCACTAATCCCTACTCTACTTGCTTGCACTCGTGCTCACGTCACTTGTAAGGATTTCGCGTTCGATCGCGGCGAGCCGAGGATTCCAACATCAGCGAATGCCGCAAGATCAGATGCATCTTCGAGCAACGTACGCACATTGCCGCCACTTAATTTTAAACGTCCTCCCTCCCATCCTCCACCTCCTCCCATCCCACTGACCAACCGACAACCTCACACACTCGCGTCTTGCTCAAATGATACATTTTGCCAATGCTTTACTCACGGTTTCTCGATGGATGCTGGGCGTTCCTGGCGCGCAAGACCTGTTGCAGCGCCGCGTAGAGATCGAGCATAAGCTGCTCGAGCTGTTGACTCTGGTCCTCGGCCTCCTCGTCCGACGGCAGGGCGAACGGGATGGCCATCTTCGCGGCTACTTTAGCGACTTCTTAAGCTCGTCTAACTCTTCAGGGGTGGCACGTGTCCGCGTCGCGAGGACGACGAGGCTCGTGTTGGGCGCGTCGGCGGCACGTGCACGGCTCTCGGTAAGCTGCTGCTCGCGGAAGGCCCCGATTACGTCCCTGCGCCCGACTATCACCTACGAAATCTCCAGTAGGGCGGATCCTCGTATGGCTCACTTTCCATAGGTTCTGCCTTGCTGGCCACCCTCGTCCTTTACCCCCCGCCGCGATTGCACACTCGTCGTCTAAAACGACTTTTCCGGCTCTCAGTCCGTCCTTCCCAATCTCCTCCCACAACTGTCACTTTAATCACACAATATGGTTCGGATAAGAGGGATAATTATATATATATATATATATATATATATATATATAATTATCCCTCTTATCCCACTATATTCACACAATATATGTCGCATATGAGAGAGATATATATATATATATATATATATATATATATATATATAATGGCAATGATGACAACGATGATAAAGAGGAGGTGGAAGAGAAGGAGGTAGAGGCGAAAGGATGACGCTCTCGCCTCAACGATCCCACAACAAAATCACAGCTCGCCTTTTTCGACCAAAGATCCGCGGACCTTGCACCTGGCTTAAAGTCGCGGCTCCCCTATCGTCGAGATTCCTATCCACACACCGTGCGCACATATATACACGCTAGGGAGTATACATGAACGTACATGAGCACGCACATGCGAGCCGGTGAGACCGAGAGGTGGTGACTCGACGAGATCGGCGAGCGAGCGCAACTGTGCAAGTCCTCGGCCGCCGCCGCAGCGAGAACTTGGCAACACTACGAGCGAAAAGCGTCCACTCTCCTCGAGGTCCTGCTTGGTAATGATTCTATGCTTTTGCCCCCGCGACGGCTCCGCACGTTGCTCTCGTGGCCGCCGCCGCCGCTACCGCCGCCGTAGCGCAGACCCCCACCGCCGTCCCGGTCCACGGTGGGGAGGCCGATGGTGCGCGCGCACGATATTGAAGGGGGGGCTGAGCGCGCGAAAGAGGGTGACGGGAGTGAGTGAGTGAGAGAGAGAGAGAGAGAGAGAGAGAGAGAGAGAGAAAGCGAGAAAGCAAAGAGCAGAAAGCAGAGAGTGAACGACAACGAAGACGACGACGACGACGAGGACGAGGACGACGAGGACGACGAGGACGACGATGACGACGATGACGACGTCGACGACGACGTCAACGTCAACGTCAACGACGACGACGAGGGCTACGGTCACGACCACGACGACCAGTGCAAATACTTCGGTGGAGGGGAGGCCTGGCCGAAAGCCGAGAGCTGGGAAGAGCAGCCCCTGGACCGACAAGACAGAGGGATGCAATGCGTCGACGACGGCGGTTCGAGGGCCGTTAATTTCGAGCATTGGAAACAGCGACATAGGATGACCCTGTACCTAGTGCCTCTAACGTCGCTTTTGCCAACTTTTAGCATTGGCTATTGGCTTCCTTTCGCGCCTCGGGGCCTT